TAAGTGCCGTAGTTCGGTGAAGTAATATCAAGACGCCACTTGGAATCTCTTTCTTGAAGTCGAAGTTGTCCTCTGAAAAGATTTCGGCAGATATTGTGAACCTGAAACACCAACCAAAAACTAATTTTCATGAAAATGTTAAAAATTCAACCCCTCAAAAAATTATTTTGTACATTCTTTGCAGATGATACTTTCATACTTTTTAAAAAGAAAAATATATATATTTTTAAATATTTTATTTTAATGTCACTTTTGCACAAATCAGGAAAGAGTCATATGCAAAAATTGTCATTTGGGGTCCTGAGAAAAAGGAAGGATGCTCCCCGCAAACCAAGCCTGGGTGTTGGCCATGTGTTCTCCCAGAACTGGTGCATTTGCAAGAACCTTCCACACAGAGGTCGGTCTCTAAGGCCCTGGACACTGAGTACGGAGCTCTGGCAGCTCAACTGTTTCATAGGGGCAGGGCAATGCGGGCTGCTTTGAGATCCTTTCCACTATTGCAGAGACCCCCTCAGCTTCTTCATTATTTTTTTCCTACCACAGAACATATAAAAAGCTGATAAATTAAGCTCCTGATGCTTTTTGACCTGGAAGCAAAGGTAGCAAGGCGGCCACATGCCTGCTTGTGAGAGAAAAAGAAAATAAATTTGGAGAAATACAGTAACATCCCTTATGTACCCTTGCTCATTTCTTTTCTTTTTTTTTTTTTAAAGATGACCAGTAAGGGGATCTTAACCCTTGATTTGGTGTTGTCAGCCCTATGCTCTTCCAAAGTGAGCTAACCAGCCATCCCTATATAGGAATCTGAACCCGTGGCCTTGGTGTTATCAGCACCGCACTCTCCCGAGTGAGCCATGGGCCGGCCCATCCTTGCTCATTTCTATAGAACTAAGAAAGGCCTCTGACCATCAGTGATAATAGTAGTCTCAAAGTTATTCATAATAGACCAAGCCCAGCAACAACCCAGCCTCTGCTGGAAGCCCCCGGCTCCTGAGCTGGGGTGGGGGCTACCTTGGGCCTTGGCCTTGCAACCAAGCCAGGAAGGAGCCGGCCCTGGGCCAGCCCCGACCCCCATCCCTCTTCCCTTCCCCTTTCCCCTCCGACCCCCCATCTGCAACAACATCTTAGAATATAAAGTAATAACAATAATTTAAAAATAGATAAATTTCTTAAAAAGTTATTCATAATTAAACATGCTGACTTAGTATTTGGTAAAAGATTTAGGGCATGTATTTAAATACTGCATGTACTCACTCATATGTGAGAGCTAAGCAAGAAAGAAAGAAGGAAAGAAAGACCACAGCAGTGTGTTGGACTTGCAGAGGGAGAGAACATTCCTTGGGCTACAGAGCAGAGTCGGGGGGAAAGGACAAGGGGGAGGGAGGTTGGGGATAATTGGGTGGGGGACACAGGGTACAAATGCAATTTGTGGTAATGGGTATGCTGCCAGTATGAATCTGGCCCTCACATCATGGGCACGAGGGGTGACAATCAGCTATGTATCTCGTGAATATTCATAACCAATAAAAATAAAATAAAATAAATCAATAAATTAAAAATAAAATAAAATAAAACAAATGCAGAGCCCTGTTCTCTGTCCTGCTTTGGTGTGCCCGAATGACCTATGAGACACCTCCACTTGGCACTCCGCTGCGGTCAACATCTCCAAACCAGAATTCATCAAAATTCCTCAAATTCCCTCTTTCTGCACCACCAACTGCTGGCCATCCACAGGATCGTATTTGTCAGCCTTAGCTCCTTTCTCTCTCAAATCTCACAGAAGTTTTAAAGGTCGTATAACTTCGTATAATGTATGCTATACGAAGTTATTACGATGTTTTTTTCTGTCTCCCAATTTGCTTCTTCAGCTTGTGGCCACCCATTTTTCGTGTGTCTCCAAATACCGTTTCTTGTGTATTTAAGTTGTTTATAGTTGTTTTCAGTGGAAGTGTCAGTTTGGAATGAACTATTCTTTCATAAACAGCAAAAATGCCTCCAAGTTTATTTTTAGAATTATTTCAATTGTGTATACTTTTGAATTTTAAAAACAATTATGAATGTATAGTTTCTAAGTTAAAACTTTCACCCCCAGATATTCCATTGCACCCTTAAAATGCTTTTTTAATGAACTCTGAAGAACCCCTTCAGAAAATTTAGCCTTCACTGAGTGTTGCTTCTGAGTGATATTTCACTATTCCCTCAGCTCTGCCAGCATTTTCTTAAATTTCCAGTGGTGATGCACTCCCCATGTTCTCCAGAGAGCACCCTAACTATGTTTCTTTTTGGTTCAACATTCTAAACCGAATAATAAAGCTACTTGTCAAGATGATGCTTTCTAGCAAACACACACACACACACACCCCATACTAATAAAAAGACACAAGTATCATGGGAGGAAAATGTTTTCAGACCCCAGATTACTCTGTTACAGTGGCTAAAACCTGGTCATAAATTGTTTTAGATGGAATACAGTATTTCCCCAGGCACCTCTTCCTAGTTCCATTCTTGCTCTTCTATTTTCCTTCTTCCCTCATACAGACCGGTTCCCGCTCACTGGCTGAGCGAGGTGCGGGAGCAACACCGAGGGTTGCGATCCCGTTGCCGGTCCCCGGTCCGGTACGGGGGCAACACTGAGGGTTGCAATCCATTGCTGGACACGGAAAAAGACAAAAAAAAAAAAAAAAAAAATCTTAATTTCACTTTCTGAAACTTGAAATCTCACAAAGTACATGATTTTATTGGTATGTGGAGAAGGCTGACCTGTCAAAATACTTTGACCTGTCCACGTATGACCAGTAAATTCCATTGGCACCAATGAGCCTTTTCGAGGCGTATCCGACTGTCAGAAAGAAAATAAAATGAGATGAGTTTTATTTTTTCACATATTTTTAAAATCAAAGTTATGGTTAACGGCGAACCTACCTGGAATGTATGGGTTGTGCTGGGCCTTGACAACTGTTCCAGGGTAACAGTTCTTTCTTGAAGAGGCGACCTTTCTATACTGTCAGGCACTGCACTTAACACGCGGTTTTGTGGATGTCTTCCTCTGTACTAAATGATGAATAATACATTCTTGTTTAAAATAAACACAACCATTAAAAAGACAAAAGAAAATCTATATATGCCTCAATCATTCACTCATTTATTCATTCAATCCTTATTTGAAAACTTTTATTTAGATATTGCTAAGTATAAGATCTACTAAGGATAACTATATAAATATATTTTACTTATATCATTGCATTATTAAACACGCTGAAATGATAGTGCCCTATTAAGTGAATAAGGATCAAGACATTAACCACATAACATTGTTAATATTAAATTATAATAGAAATGTAATTCTGCATTTGTGAAGCCAGACTTTTTTATGTGATGTTTGCCTTTTATTATTTAATCCTAAAGTTAAAAATTAAAGCTTTGCAACTCTTGCCTTTGGGGAATGGTTTCTATTGCTGCGCTCAATGTGGCAAAAAGAATGCAAGAGAAAACCTTGCTGTGGTTGGTTGTTTTTCTCTCTAAGCCTTCATCTTCCTACAACTGGGGTCCTTCTGTGTTTTGTAAAACAGACACAAGTTACTTGTATCAGAGTAAAGTGAGGGGTAATTGTGAATTCGGGAGAGACCTGATAATACATGCTACCAGCAGCGTGACATCCCCGACCTTTTGGGGTTGCATGCCTGAGTGGAGTCTGAGTGAAGAGGATATTGCCTCTACTTTGAAATAAATAGGGCAAAAGTTGGCTGTAAAAATGAGACCTGATAAAAATAATGAGGGTAAAAAGTTAATGAGCTCTTAGTTTATGCCAGGCATTATTTAAAATATATGAGTTCATTTAATCCTTATAACAATTCTTTGAAGTAAAAATCGTTCTTCCTCTTTTACGAAGGAGAAAACTAAGGCTCAGGGAGATTAAAGTAACTTGTACCAAATCATATAGAAAGTGTGTGTGGCAGGATATGAACACACATCTCCCCGTCTCCTGACCCGATCTTCATACTCTTTTATTCACTTCACCATCCTGACCATCTGGACTTTCTGATTTAGTTCAAGCCATGTTTTTATTTCACAAAATGATGAATTAACCCTCTCACCCCCTGTAAATTCTCACAAGTCATTTACTTTCTGAAAGTGGATTATGAAGACATTTTGAATATAGAAATCAGATCATTCTCTTACATTACCGATTTCACTTGGAAGTGCCAAGATTATTTTTGTTTGTTTTCCAACACACTATCTAAATAGTGCACTTAAATATAATGAAATCTGTCTTACAGAAACAGGGCGGGATCCAGGAACTGCAGAGTTTTGCTCCCTGGTCTCTGAGCCTATTGGGGGTAGCCTGCTCCGTGAGGTTTGAACTGGTGGAGGAGACATGTGGTCTATTCCAGTTTGCCTGTAAACATGACGACATGTTACTGAGCACCCAGGTGCAGAGACGGGGGGACAGATGCTACCATGAAGCTCCCAACCTGAGCTATTAATAACAATCTGCCTATGCTATCTACCATAAGTGAATCAATGTACAGTATATGCATGTATTGAAGCAACACACTGGACCATATACATATGTAAAAATAAATGTAAAACAAAACAAAACGAAAATGAAAACAATGTTCAAGTGGGCTGAGTTTCAGGAAGATAAATATGAGCATAATGGTAGGGAGCTACTCTAACCAGGTGTTGATATTCCAAAATTAATTACCTGCTTTTTGCACAATAACAGACATTCTAGAAATTCATAGTACCCAAAGTTTAGAAGCTGCAGGGAAAGAGACAACTTTTTAATGGTAGGGAGCTACTCTAACCAGGTGTTGATATTCCAAAATTAATTACCTGCTTTTTGCCCAATAACAGACATTCTAGAAATTCATAGTACCCAAAGTTTAGAAGCTGCAGGGAAAGAGACAATTTTAGTTTAGAAGCTGCAGGGAAAGAGACAACTTTTTGTATTGCAAGTGGGGCTATAAATTGGTATAATCGTCCTGGGAAGCACTTTGACCTTAAAAATATCTATAACCTTTGATCTGGTAGTTTTCCTTCGAGGACTACAGCACTAGGAAACAATTTAATGACATCCTTATTAAGATTGATATATAATGATGCTAACTGCACAGTATCATAATGAAAATACAGAAAAAAATGAAAAGTTTCTTTAATAGGGCAATACTTAATAAATTATCATATACCCACATGATTATTTTGTAGTCATTAAAATCTTGCTCTCAAAAAATTTGATAACATGGAAAATATAAATGATATAATTTTTTAAGGAAAAAAATTATATGAAAAAGTGCTACATCATACAATAGTAAGATCATCTAGGGTTAGAAAAAAGGCAATGGAAAACAAATATAATCCTAGACAAAATTGATAGGAAACTTACCAACAGTTATCATTCCTATATTTACGTGATGGGCATATAGGAGATCTTTGATTTCTTCTCATATTTTTGCTATTGTCCTATTGTTCCAAGGTGAAATTATAGTACTATGACAATTAGGGGGGAAATGATATTTCAATAAAAATTAAAGAAACAGCATGAACAAAATCATGGAAGTAAGAGGATGCATAGCTGGTGTGTTTGTGAGTCAGACAGATGATGAGGCTGACCAGAATCAAGGTGGGTGAGAAGAAGTCATGGGAAATAAGTGTGCATAACCAAAGAGTGTGAAATCTCTCTCAATGGGGCAAAAAGTGGTCCCTCAGGGGCAAAAAATTGTACTCATGTATAAAGCACAGCTATACATATAGATGTATGGTCTGTCTGTGGTACTGAAATTCTATGGGTGGGAGAGCAATTAGGAAAAATAGTCTAAAAGGGTTCCTTAGTGTGGCAATCATGAAAAAAAAAAGCTGAAAACATTGGTCTACAGAGAGGCAGGGGTCAAAGATGGAGGAAATGTACAATTGAAGGCACCTGAATTTATTTCAATAGGAAATAGAAATGGTTTTTGATGAAAGTGGTGGTGGAGCCCAGGTAGGCTGGGAGAAAGAGGAGAGAGCCTGTCACATGCCAGTGACGTGGGCATGGGGTGAATAAGGCATGCTAGGGGGCCACACTTAGAATGAAGCGGGTAGAGATGTCGTGAATTAACAGCGCAGACCCGAATACAGCTGGAAGTAGCAGTCCTGACTTGTGAAAGAAACACTGACCTATCAAAAAGCCACGTGGTGTTATGAATGCATCTTGAAAGAGTCCTATTATGAGTAAGTGTTGGCAGCTGCTCGGTCCTCCAAGTCCTGCAGGGGGACCTGTGCTCAGTCCCTCTATTAACTCCCTCCCTTGCTGTGGAAAGCCTGCAGCATGGTGGTCCAGGGGGTGGATATCAGAGCCAGAAAGCATGGTGGGTGCGCCCAGCTCTGTCCTCTGGTGCGATGATATTTGGCAAATTATTCAACTTCTTTCAGCCTCTGTTTCTACATCTTAGATTTGGAATAATATGAGCACCAACTCAAAAATTTGTGGTGGGGGAATAATAAGATAAAGTGTAATCCATTGACCTGGTGTTGGTAACAAAGAAAGCAGTCAATAAACACTAGCTGTTACTGCCTGACACTTAAGTTGGCTGGAAAGCTCCTTCAGAATTTTATGGTAAAGGAAGAGACAACTTCCTAAGTAGGCAATGATTTGATGTTAGTCCCTAAGGCCAAAGCTTTTCTGAAACTCCCACATAGAGTGAAACACCTCCTTAAAGATAAATAAAAACTGATAGGTACCTTTCCCTTTTACTTTTACAGCATTTTTATATACATTATCGTATTTAAACCTCCCCATAAAAGAGTGTTATGTAATTTGAAAGCATTAATTAATTATAATTTTTTCAGCAGAGGCCAGAAATCCATCCACGATCAACCCACCATCACTGTTTCATTTCACTGAGCTGCCTGTGCTACAGGTACACTGACTGACCTTATATTCTAGGATAAGCTAAGTGTATTACTGGAACAAAATCAATGTTAAATACTCAAAATTAGTGAACTTATTAGGAAGGTGTCTACATAAAATTTGATAGAGGATGCTTTGTCCAGAATAATTTATAAACCCTAATTGACAAGTGTCTCTGACGTATGTGACCTTTAGTTTATCATGAGAGAAACAAGACTTACAGTTTTGTTCCCCTAAGAACTTCATCACTATACACATTGGGGGTCTTTATTCTCTGTGAATCTGAAGTAAGAGAAGGCAGCCTCCTATATACTGGTGTTTTCTTTGCAGGAGTCTGTAATCCGCGATTATCTGAGATTCGTCCCAGTCGATGCTGTGCAGAGGAAACAGCACCAGACCCTACACCCAATGATTTGTCTTCTCGTTCATTCCTGGGGGAGAGAAATCCAGTTGGTTACTCAGGTGCAAGTGCTGTGGGAACAGGGAACACATATATTTGTGCCTTGCTAGGTACTGTCCAGAGCAGTGGCTGGCACATAGAACTTACTCCCAAGTGTTTGCTGAATGAATGGAGAGGCTATCATTTCTATTTCAATTTCAATGAAGAACCATCCAAAAGAAAAAAGATTTAAATTTCCCATTGTTTGTAGTCAAATAGCAAAGTCCACAAGATTAAGAATTCATAGCTACATTCCTCTTTTCTCATCTCTCCCAACCCAATATATAATAGTAATTATTTTCTGGTTGATGTTAGCATAATCTGTGTTTACTTTTAAACACTGACTACATTTCCCCTAGAAAGTGCTCAGGCACATCTGGATTAAATGAGATCGAAAGTGGAATTAGATTAGTTGTAAATGTATATTGCAAAGTCCAAGGCAACTGCTAAAATTTTTTAAAAGAAGCATAAATAATATGCTAGAGATAGGAGAAAATGGAAATATATAAAATATTCAACTAGAACAAGAAGGCAGAAAATGGGGAAGATAAAGAAAAGAACAAAAGAACAAATGCAATGAATAGAAAACAGTTACAAGCATAGTAGATATTAATAACTCTATCAATAATCACTTTGAATGTGAATGGTCTAAATACATCAATTGAAAGACAGAGATTGAAAAATAGTATAGAACTATGTGTTTTCTACAAGAAATTCCTGTTAAATATTTAGACACAGATAGATTAAAACTACAGGGTGAAGTAAGATATACCATGTTAAATTTAAATTAACATCCATCCTTCTTGAACAATTCCAAAAAATAGAAGGGAGCACTTCTTAATTCATTCTATGAGGCCAGCATTACCCCAATACTGAAACTAGATAATGACATCACACAAAAAAGAAAATTACAGACCAATATGTCTTATATTGATGCAAAAATCCTCAATGACATACTAGCACACCAAATCCAACAGCATATGAGTAGGATTATATACCACAAGAGAAAAAGATTTATACCAAGAATGCAAGGGTGATTTAACAAAAAGATCAATCAATATAACACACTGCATTAATAGAACAAAGGAAGAAAACCATAGAATCATCTCAATTGATACAGAAAAAGCATCTGACAAAATCCAACACCATTTCATGATAAAAAAAAATTAAACAACACATATTCAACTTGATAAGGAACATCTATAAGATACATATAGCTGACATCATACTGAATCGTGAATATCTAGATTCTTCCCCCTAAGACCAAGAATAAGGCAAGATGTCCTCTCTTACCTCTCCCACTCAGTCTTCAACTGAATGTCCTAACCAAGGCAAGAAGATAAGAAAAAAAAATTAAAGATATATAGATTGAGAAAAAACAAATGAAACTGTTATTGTTGCCAGATGACATAATTATCTATAAAGAAAATCCCAAGAATCAGAAAACAAAAATAAACACTTCCTGGACCTAATAAGCAAGTACAGCAAGATTGCAGGATATAAGATCAATACACATGGGCCGGCCCGGTGGCGCACTGGAGAGTGTGCCGCTGGGGAGTGTGGCGGCGCTCCCGCCGAGGGTTCGGATCCCACATACAGACCGGTTCCCGCTCACTGGCTGAGCAATGTGCGGGCGCAACACCGAGGGTTGCGATCCCGTTGCCGGTCCCGGTCTGGTATGGGCGCGACACTGAGGGTTGCAATCCGTTGCCGGACACGAAAAAAGACAAAAAGGAAAAAAAAAAAAAAAAACTCCTTATCAATGAAGTAGTTATAAAAGCAACAAAATAGCTTTAAAAAACTCCTTATTTTTAAAATTTCCCTATTTCTCAGGTCAATTTATTTTGCCTAATATTTAAAGGTTCTTTTCTATATTGTTATCATCAACTGTTCATTTTTATAAGATTCATGCTGCCCAATAAACAAAGTGAGAAATATTGTATTGAACCTATCAGAGCAGTTTAAAGAGACCAAAAATGTAGGCAGTTAGCAATTTCAAAAGTTTCTTTCAAACAGAAAAAACAAATGAGACTTATTATAAAGCCCTTACACTAGAGAGTAAAACAAGATTATTCGATATTCAGTTTTACCCACTGCTCCCTGAACCACACACCCTGGTTTAGGCCTGTGTTCTTTTCATCTTATGAAGATACTTGTTTATTTGCTCCTATGCTGGGTGCGTATTTTTGCCTCTTCCTTGAATATCATCCCTTTTCTTTTTCAGCTTAACAATCTTACCTATCCATTAGGGTTTAGTTCATTCTTACCCTACTTTGTGAAAGGTATGATATTTTTCCTCTGAACCCCACAGCATTTATGATCTAAAGCACACCTAATTACAAAATATATAATATAATATATAATTAGAATCTAATTGTAATAATAAAAGCTAACAGTTATTGAATGCCTACTCTATGCCAAACACTGTGGTAAATGTTTTATCCTTTCTCACAGCTTCCTATCTCATAGATCCCAGAGATAATAATATTGAGATTTTGAGAGAAAGGGACTGATTTGAGATCATGGAGCTAATAAGTAGTGATGTCAGGCTCCAAATTTATAGTCTATATACAAAGCTCAAACTCTCATTCACTCTACTATCAACTATATGGCCTCTCCTTGTGTGTGTGTGTGTGTGTGTGTGTGTTTGTGTTTGTGTGTGTGTGCACGTAGTATTCTTTCGCACGGCTTGACTCCCCCAACTAAATTGGAAATTAAATGCAGCTAAAGACCAGGAATCCTGTCTTACCCTCTATGGCCTCTCCTTGTGTGTGTGTGTGTGTGTGTGTGTGTTTGTGTTTGTGTGTGTGTGCACATAGTATTCTTTTGCACAGCTTGACTCCCCCCAACTAAATTGGAAATTAAATGCAGCTAAAGACCAGGAATCCTGTCTTACCCTCTTTCTCTGCTCCCCCACACAAGATGGGCTGTGTGAAACATAAAATTCAAACTCCTTAGCACCACTGAAGACCTCCCATAAACAAGTCTGTTTCCAGCCTCATCTGCTACTAGATCTTTGGATAAGGATGCAATTCAAGAAAAATTTATTGAATGCTTAGTATAGGCCAGATTCTGTGTCAGGAGCTCTCACATATTTCTATGATTTTTTCTCACAACAATCCCGTGGACACCATATTATTATCCTCATTGTACAGATAAGGAAACTAAAGTTTAGAAAAGTTAACGTGTCCAAAATAATACTCCTCATAGGCCTCTTGGTTCCAAATTCCCTTTTCTTTCCAATATGCCCTGCTGTTGCCAGGATCCTGTTCTCTGAACCCTCCGTACAATCACTGTTCCCCAAACCCACCCCATCTTTCATCCATCCATGCCTTTGCTCAGCCTGAAATGGCCCACTCAGAATACTCATCCACAAAAGACCCACTCATTTCTTCATGTTTCTGCCCCAATTTCACTCCAATGCAAAAGATAAATCCTCATCCTCTAATCAGGACAAATCATTCTCTCCTTGATTCTCCTGTGACACTTTTTTTATATGTATCTCACAGCATGTATTTGCATCTGACCTTGTGTTATAATTTTTGTTTCACTAGGTCAAAGACCATATTTTATTCATCTGTATATCTCTTTGAAACACCTAATATAGTACACTTAATACAAACTCAATAAATGTTGAATGAACCCAATGTAAACTCCTTGATTCTTTTATTACTTCAGTGGAAGGAGATCTTTTATAATTTTCAAATGTTAGGAGGAAAGCATTTTTTCCTCCCAAAATATAAAAAACAGCTCCACATCTTGAAGTATCTAAGTGTCCTACTCCATTAAAAAATTCTATTAAGCTTTATGAAATAATCATACTATGTTTTAGTTTTACTGACAAACAGACCCAAGTATCTTGATAATAGAATTTAATAGAGTGGCACTCTTGACAAGCTGAGGCGAGAGATATAAAGACTGATAGAATGAGAGAGAACAGTGTAAAAGCATCTACCTGGAGTGGATTAAGATGAGAAGCCAGGGAAATGCTGCGAATCTCAGAACTTCTGGACAGGGGAACACTTGATACATCAGTGTGAACACGGGAAATGAGTGTACGTGGAGATCTATTTTCAGCCACTTCCTGTTTTTCCTTCTGCTTTTTTCCTTCTGTATCAACAAAAAAAATCAATATTACAAGAAACATCAGATTATCTAATACATATACTTAAAATTCATTCTTCAAAGAGCATATTTATTTTTGAGTTACCATGGGTCTATGCTATGGCCACTGGTAAGGGAACATTTTTACTGTGGAGAGCACAGACCTGCGTGGAACAATTGGCTAATGTGACTTTCATTTTAGTGGTATGCAGAAAAACAGAGATTATACAGTGGGGCAATAAAGAGTCTTAGTATTTTATAAAAGCCCAACTAATCCCTTTGGGCTAGAAAAAGAGCAAAAGAACAGTATTTAAATTAACATGATTATTGCCTTATTGTACAAACTGATTACATAAAACTAGTTATTAATGTCTACTACTGATATTTCTATGATATGTCTCTGCTCAATTTTAAGTAGTTTAGAGAACATTTTGTAAGTATAAATGAAGACAAATGATTATTAAATTGGCTATGTTTACATTGTACTTTGCAAATAATGTCACCAACAATTAATAACAAATATCCCATTATTAGAAATTAATTGGGTATGGTTTTTACAATTTAAAAAGTGACTTCTAGCTTCTTTCTGGAGTATTTCTGTATTTTTCCCAGAGTGCATATACATTATTTTTATGACTCAAAAAGCAATCACGTCCTTTCTGGCGTGATGAGAGCTCCCGTGTGAAGAAGGCAGGAGGCCCACTTCTCACCCCAGCCACCTTCCAGGCATGGCCCAGCTGGGCTGGGGAGCACACAGCTGAGGAACAGGGGTCTTGTTTTTCTTTTCGTGAGACCAAATTCTACAAATAAGTACCTGTGGGTGTAGTTTCCCAGTGTTTTCTAATCAGTTCTTCCAACATTTCTACCACGTTTGTCCAGACGTTATCGAATACTTCGGCTGCCACAGCATCTTTGATGCAGTCATGAGGGGAGATGGGAGGAAGTCCGTGCTTCTGCCACTTCCTACCACGGTGAGCTGGTTTTCCTTCAAGACACTCGTCATCGCTAAGGATAAAAACCCATGCTAATGACTAAAAGCATCAATGGCTAAAGTTACCATAATTCTATCTACCTATCATGCATGTACATACATTTATACATATGTTAATAGACATTATTTTTAAAACACATTGTTTTTTGTAAAATATACCCAATTTTTTGTCAGTTATATTTCAATAAAGCTGGGGAAGAAAACAAACAACTAATTCTGAGTTTCACTGATCTGCTAAATTGTCTTTTTCTAGTCTCTGTTTCGTTTATTTTGTCTCTGATCTTTGTTATTTTTTCCCTTCTACTAACTTTTTCTCATTCCTTTGGGTATAAAGTTAGGTTGTTTATTTGAGATCTTTCTTCTCGATGGAGGCCTTTATTGCTATAAACTTCCCTCTTCGAACTGCTTTTGCTGTGTCCCGTAAGTTTTGCTACGTTGTGTTTCCATTTTCATTTGTCCCCAGATATTTTTGATTTCCCTTTTGATTACTTCTTTGACCTACTGGCTGTTGAGGGTATGTTGTTTAATTTCTACCTACTTCTGAATTTTTCAGTTTTCTTCCTGTTATTTTTATTTTTATATTTGTCCCCAGATATTTTTGATTTCCCTTTTGATTACTTCTTTGACCTACTGGCTGTTGAGAGTATGTTGTTTAATTTCTACCTACTTCTGAATTTTTCAGTTTTCTTCCTGTTATTGATTTCTAGTTTCATACCACTGTGGCCAGAAAAGATGCTTGCTATAATTTCAATCTTCTTAAATTTGTTAATATTTATTTTAGCATACTAATATTTTTGAATGTACCAATTTTTAATCACAATGTAAATTTTTATCATACCGTATTTGTAGCTTTTGGTTAAGACAAAATAAGCATTTAGTGCAGAGCTTCCCCTTTGCCTTTCTGGGCAATGGGTACAGGACAGCTGATGTGGCCATGAGGCCACTAGGAGCCCTGTCCATTTTCACAGGCACGCTGAGTACAGTTCTTGTTTTCTGTCTGTGCCGTGTTGTCATGAAGAAACAGAAGCAGTGCTCTAGAATATACACTTCCTGCTAGGAACCTAAAAACTTCTTGTAGGACTGATTAGTGGCTTTGAGATAATGTATGCCAGACTCAGGCGTCTAAGGCAATGCTGGGCACTTGGAAACTCTCTCCATATGTTAACTAACATACACAAACTTCTGAAGATCTCCCGTATACCCTTGGCTTATGTACCTTGTGATCTTTTCTTACTCCCCCCTCCCTCCTTTGTTTTTTATCTTAACTACTGGAAAATAATGGTGACAGGAACAAGTCTGAGCTTCTGACTTTTTGATAAGCGCACCATCCCCAGAAAAATAAACATCAACAATGAATATCTGGTGGATATATCATACTCTGTAAGGCATGGGGCTTATGAAGGACTGAAAAGAAAAAAAAAACAGCCTACTTAGTCAAGATTTTTTTTAAATTACCTAGTTGAGATAACCAGAAAATTCATTCACATTTACATGAGTGCTTTAATTTATTTTACTCAAATATAGAGAAACTTCAGATAACTGAAATGGACTTCTCCATAAGTAGTTTGGCTGAGTGACTTTTATGGATCAAATGTGTCCCCCCAAAATTCAGGTACTGAAAACTTGACCCCCACTGTAACAGTGTTAAGAGGATGGGAAATCTTATCACGGCAATTGAAAGGTGTGGCCCTTAAGAGGTGATTAGATAGTGAGGACTGTGCCCTCATGAATGGAGTGACCCATTCATAGAGTAATGCGCATGGTTCTGATGGCCGTAAAAGGAGATCAAGTGAGCAGGTTAGCTCTGTTCTGCTCAGCCCACTCTCGCCATGTGATATGGTGTGTCACTTAGAAGGCCCTCACCAGATGCACCCCTGGACCATAGACTTCCCAGCCTCTAAAACTGTAAGAAATAAATTTCATTTCTTTATAAATTACCCAGTTTCAGGTATTCTTTCATAAGCAACAGAAACGGACTTATATAATGATTGAAGGAAAAAAAGTTTTCCTTTATACCCAATCTATATTCTATATGCGAGCCAGAGATGCACAACCTATGGGAAAAAGCAGATTCTTCATGGGAGTTTGTAGCACATCAGGAATACAATTTTTGCATGATCATGGTGAATCTTTAAATTACTTATAAAGTACATAATCCCAAATAAAAAATCCTTTAATATTACATTTGACAAAGCTCATATCCTTAAAAACATTTTAACACAGGCATCGTTAAAAATTTTAAGGGTTTCTTAAAAGCCTAAATTATTCTATGAGTCTGTATCCTCTTTGCTATAATGAATGGATGTCACGGCACGGTGACATCAAACACAGTATGTTTGAATGGCATAATGAAATTTATCAAAATGTATTAGTGAGCAAAGGAAAAAAGGATGGAGCTTTACTTCTTCTGCTGCTACTGCCTTAAGGCTTAGGATTCATTGCAATGAGGTGGTTTTTGATTCTGAATGTAGCCCACCTTTCACTGTGCCTTTGGAGCAAAAGTTGAAGTTAACTTCTGTGTGTGTGTGTGTGTGTGTGTATGTGTGTGTGTGTGTGCTCCATATATATTTTACGTATGTACATATATATATACATACTCACACACATATACACATACATACACACATCATCAACTTAGAATCAGGGCATCTTGCAAAAAAAATTCTCTGTACCCACCCNACATAGATATCTATGATAAAGTTTAATTTATAAATTAGGCACAGTACTCTTGCACTTTGGGACCATTATGAAGTAAAATAAGAATTATTTGAACTCAAGCACTGGGATACCATGACACTCAACCCAATGATCAAGATGACTACTAAGTGACAATGAGCAGGAATGTACACAGTGTGGATCTGCTGGACAGAAGGATGATTCACATCGCTGGCCAGATGGAGTGGGATGGTGTCGAGCTCTTTTACCTGCCCGTAATCCTGCCAACTGGGCCAATTGTCGAGCTAGGGATGGATTTGGTGCTCACAGACCCCTCAAGCCCATTGTCCAGACTGGGTCACAAACCCTTCACCTACCAGGCTGGGTCTGCAGACCTCTCACATGCCAGGCTGGGTCACCAGACCCGTCACGTGCAGGTCTATGAGCTAGGTAACCAGCAAACAGGTCCTTGGATGCTATAGGTTGGAGAGGATGGCCATGTAGGGCAGATACCCAAGGCAGACACCAGCCAAGTTGCGGCCCCGTGCATGCACACTAACTCCACCCACCCACACACAATTTGCTTACAAAGAATGCGCCGCATCATCCCCCAACCAGATGGGCAGGCAAGGGAGCCTGATTAAATTATTCTATTTTCCCAACAG